TTTTCGAGAAACGCCCTGGGATTTTTAATGACCACAGAGAGTCAGGACCTCGGTTTTACGTCTCATCCGAAGGACGGCGCCCGTTTACAGTATAGTGTCCCCATCACTATACTGGGGCATTAGGACCCACACAGACCGCAGGGTGAGCGCCCCCTGCTGGCCCCACTAACACCTCTTTTCACCAAGGCTTATCACATGGGTTTGTAGAAGCTGGGTTAGTGCCAATGATGGTGGCAGCATTTGGCTGTTCATGTGGTTGGAAGGCCCGAGTCAAGAAGCTTACATAAAGCTGGCCTACCAGCAGAGGAGTAACCACTGCATTTATTAGATTAGTCTGCTGAGGAAGTCACTCTAAACTGTTCATTAAAAAAAAAGCCTTAATACCAGCACCTACTAATCCTCCATCAGAGAGAGGTTAATATATTGAGGTTCCCCACAGTCATGTTCCTGGAAATGAGGATCTTCAGATGGCACAAGTTGTCAAGCTCAGTTGCTGGATTCATGCTTGCATCAGTGGAATTAAATTAGCACCGAGCCCACCATGAGATTTCAGAGATCAAGAGCTAGTAAAAACCATTGCACAGCAGATGCAAGAATGCAGGAGTGGAGTTAAGCCTTGCTCAAGACCTTTAATAAGTATCCTTACTCACCCAGTTCATACAGGTGCCCGTCCACATTGATGAAGGTAATGAAGTGGAAATTCACTTTATCTTCCTCTACCTAATGGGATGTTCAGGTCACAAGTTAGACAACAGATCTCAACCTATCGCTTCAGAATGCCCTGCCATAACACCACAGGAGTTAACTACCAACTACAGTTCCCCTGAAGACTAACAGGAGGTGTGATAAGAGCAAAGACTATATCCAGTACTAACCACATATGTTCAAAGCCCATGTTTAAGCTTTCCTACTACATGCAAAAGGAAAGTAACTTCAGTACAGAAACTGAGACTAAATCAGCTGCTCATAAGGTTAACTTGAAGGTTTTCAGTGAATTTCATATAGGAAAAAAAGAAAGCAAGCGTACCCTGCACTGTCCTTCTGCTGCTACTTCATCATGGGCTGTATGGATGGCCTGTCATGAGAAGAAACATTCAGATTCTTAGAAAAGGAGTATTCACAGTAATTCTCCAATACGGTTTTGGATTTAATTTCAAGAGAACATTTAAGAAAAACCCAATATGAACATAGCTTGGCTTCCGTTTCCCCATCATGTGCCCTATGTTTCCATTATATCGGAAATACTATAGGCCATGTGTGGGAATTACAAGATGATTCTCCATCACATCCTGTCCAATAAAGACTACTACATTTTGAACCCCTCTGAGACAAACCATTACAGAATAGCAGTAGTGCCCTCTAGTGGACTTGTTCATCTACAGTGCAGGACCACCTGTTTATACACAAATACCGTACTGCCATTTGAGGTGTCCAGATGCTTCAGTTTAGAGTAAATCACTTTCATCAAGACCGAGTATGCCCACTTTGGGTGTGCAGATGGCAGGCATGTTCACCAAAATGGAGTAAGATGGCTTCTTCAAGGCCAGGTTAAATAAAGGGGTCTCAGGGTCATGAATAGGGGGCTTCAAAACCAAGCCATGGAGAATCTTTGTACATTCACTTCCACAGTATCAGTTTCCTTAAGGCTGGGGCTCCAGTTTTGTTCCTGCAGGTCCATACACTTGCTGGTTGTTCCTCCAGCAGAGCTCATAGAAGTTATGGCAACCCTTCCCCCCCACCCCCATTTGAAAAGTGGAGATTAAAGCTTCTTACACGACGCTGTAGTTAAAAAGCAATAATCAAAAAGTTGCAATTAAGCTGGCAAGGTTGAATTACGTTCGATCCCAGATGGAACATAAACGGGTGTTCATTTAGAGCCACCGCCTGTAAATCATGAACCAGAAATGGGTGTGACAAGCCTATCAAGTGAGCAGTGGAAAATCCCATGGCTTCCGCACCTTCTGAGACTCCAAGCAGTTGAACACTAATACGTGCTACAAGCATCAAGTCAGTCTTGGAAGAAATGCACATTTATTTTCTGGTAGTCTGCCTTGCTGTATTTACTGTCAAAAATGACATTTTCACTTGGAAGTTCAGGAGCTTGGCGTTCCGACATGAGACGTCAGAGAAAAGGAGTTTCGTCAAATCTTGCAAAGCATATTTTCCTAGAATTTAGATCTTATTAGTAGAAACTAAGCAACCCAAGACTGTTGAAATCATGTCTTCCACGTAACCACAAGTGCAAAAAAAAAAAGCTTCCAGACCTAGTTTTAAAATAGGTTTTTCCATTAGTTTCAAGTTGTCTTCTGGTTTGGTCTGAAATATTCAAGCGTTGGCAAGCTATCTACAGGTTGTTTGTGCTTTAACCCAATCAAGGTAAGCTTCTTGATTGATAACTAGCAAAGATTGGGTCCAGTGCCCACTCAGACAAAAACTGCATTTCCAGTATGGGGGAGACCATAAGAACTGACTGCTGGCAAAACCTGTCGATATGCTGAAAGTGGTGCAGAACATTCCACCCTGTGGATACGTACCTGGCTCTTCTCCAGCTCCTTGGCCCGGTCTTCTGCAGACATGCTGGCGGTTTTATCCAGGAAGCTCTTCAGTGCCGATCCACTCTCTGAGAAAGGGAAGCTTTCAGTGTTAACGCAAGGCGACTGCTCTCCAAAACACTCGGTAGAGCGCGAGGAAGTCAAATGGCAATCGCTAAGGTTGGGGGGGGAATCATTTTAGAAGGCAGGAGGAAATGTTTAAAAGGCAAAAATCAAGATGAGGAGAAAAATAAATCACTGCTGTGCTGCTGCTGTTCTACAAAAAAAAAACTGGTGTTTGATATGGAACTACCATCTGTAAATCCTAAATCATAAGCCAGAAATGTGTGCGCAACTTAAACCAGTCATGTGAATCAAGTCAATACCGACTTGGGAAAATCCCACCTACTCATCTTTAGAAGAGGTGTTCTCAGATCTTGGGTGCATTTTGAAAAGGGACACCCCCACGATCTGAAAACTTCTGGAACAGAGCTTGGCTTTTTTTTGGCAGGTGCAAAGAAAATCGGAATGGGCCGAACCAGAACAAGGAATCCATTCTGAGCAGGAGCGGGCAGCCTTGCTACTTCCAATCTCCTCTAGACACTCCCCCCCATCACAAAACTCACTGAATTCCAGTTTGTCCTTGTTGTTGGCTACAGCATGCAGTAGCCCGACTGTGCCACAGGAGTTGACGATGGTCTGCTTGATAAAGTACACGCTGGGGATCTCCTTGGCCTTCTCAGCCAGCTCTGTGGACTGCTTTTCTCTGAAGGTCTCATGCTGCCAGAGAGGAAGGCATTACCACCATTACAGTAGTGCACCCCAGTAACCCAGTACAGCCACTGAACAGCTTTCTCTTGCCATCAAGCTCTAGGCTGCCTAGTGGATACAAAACACCAATGTCTCACAGAGCCCTGTTGAAGCAATCAATATTGGTTTCAGATGTAGGTCATAGAAGCCAGACAAAAGCACATTAGGCTCCAAGTCCATTTCCTTTCTTGATGTGCCCGCATAATCATTTTTGAGCTTCCAGCTTCCCTTTCAACTACAAATCCCAGAGGGAGGAATAAAACACTTCCAGCAAGATTTTTTTTATGGTCGTTCCTGCACTTGACACTTGGTACAGTAGGTGCATATTAAAATTTAAAGACCGGTAAAATACCAGCAGAGTTAATTTAAAAAAAAAATGATTTCTCGGCTTCACACTGGAAATCGGACAAAGGGTCAGTTATTTTTGAATCACACAGGGCAACTCCGAAAGATTTTAAGGTCTGAGAAACTCATCCAGTCATGCAGTACATAACATCAACCCCACACAACCCGCGCTGGACAAGGATTTCATTCTACTGTGCTTTCTAAATACTTAAAAATCAATACGCAAAACCATTAGCCCGGATGACCGCATCCTCCTTTATAGCATCAACCGGACGCCCTGTCGATTCGTGTCCCGAACTGAACCGATTTCAAAACCGCATGATGCAGATAACCATCTTTGGCGGAGGATTGCCAGATTAATCGCTTCTATGCGTTTGAACGGCCCACAGTCCCAACACTCCTGAATGACAAGATCCCTCGGATGCACTAAAAGCCTTGTTTCGCCTGTGCTAGGACAGGTCTTCCCAGCACTGCGCTAGTCGAGAGGCGCACAGACGCGTCACCGGCGGAGCCCCGACCAGCGCCCTACCTGAGGCGTGAGAGGAAACAGCAGCATCACCGCGCAAGATGGCTTCGGCACCGAGGCCAGAGGCTCGTCCTCGAACCCCAAGACATCAACGAAACGCCAGCTGTCGCCCACGCCCAGTTTAGACAACACCTGGGGCGGGGAGGGAGAAAGCAAACCTCGAATAGGCGTTCTAGGCAGCGCATAACGTAAAAACACTGAACCCCTAAACCACAATCAGATTTCGCAATGTATCCGCAAGCAATATATTCGTACGTTTGACTTATTTTTTTCTAATCTTTAACCGTGCACTCTGACACTGGATGAACCCAATCCATTTTTTAATTCAATTTTGATCAAGTTGAGACAGACCACGCCCTTATATAAAACGCGGAGGATGACAAGAGTAAAAGAGTACGCATTTAACAAATCCGCTCAGGCTGCAGGTGGCTCTAAGTGGCAACACTTCGGAGAGGCTTTTCGATGCACAAATGACTCAGCAGCGAGCACGTACTTTGTTCAGCATCTGAAAAGACAAGAGAAACGCGCAGTGAGCAGTCGTCTCGGAAAGCAAGGTGCTTCCAAGTGACAGCAACATTCCCGTCTGCCGCAAGCAGGCGAGTAACAGCAGAAGGTACCTCAGGGTTGATTTCCATAGGCTTCCACTCCATGGCGGTCGAGTTGGGCTTGAGCGTCACACGAGCTAGAAATAGCGCTTCTGTCCGGCTGCTCCACCGTTTATATCACCAGTATCAAAGGGTGCCCACGCCGCTGCTCATATAGAAGTGGTCCTATCCCATTCTCGCACAGGAGAGGGGGACGGAAATTTCTAATTAGATTATATCGAAGAGCAGATTTGCCTCCCCAGCGAAAGCAACATTGCTTGGGCGGTGATTCACCACTCATATCAAGAAACACTCTGATTCGCGAGAAAGCGGCACCACGTTTGCAAGTTCTGTGGAGACTGGAAATAATAGCACAGTCCAGGTCGCATGATTCGTCTGGAAGTTGCTAGCAAATACCCACGGGGGAGCTTGCCAGTTCGAAAGAGCTGTGCAGCGCCTGCGAGAGACTTGTTTTTTTTCGGTACATTAAACGAAAGGAACGGAGTGCTTAAATTATTGTCAAGAACTGAGCAATACAAGTTGGTGCAGGTCTCCATTTTTAGTCATCACTCCATTCTTTAAAAACATTACCTAACTCCTTAATGCATATTGTCAAATACCAATAAGTGCATGTTGTCAAAATAAACTGTAGATAACAGGCAACGCGGACCCCCTCGTCATATTTATAATTTATCGAGACTTGATAATTTTTCATTCATGTAGTTAGTGATTTTACTGTGTGGATTCGTCCGTCACATGATCAAATAACCACCTCAAGGCAGGCAGCCAAATGGATAAAAGATGCTTAGATTTCGCTGTGCTCATTCTCACACACAACTACAGTACAGATCGTGTAACACTAACAGTTCTGTTACTCTACTTTTCTAATTGTGCTTCAATTAGTGTTTGGCACCACCCTTCCACAACCATTGGCGTAGAGTTCTTCCTGTTCTCAATGTACAGTACTTCCACATTGTTCAGACTTGTGTCCGATCATTTGAGTTTCGCTGTTTATTATGAAGAAGTTCACTGGAATGACTCTCAGTGCCTTTGAGGATTTTGAATTCTATAAATTCAAGGCAATTCTTTTAGCCTGTCAGTTCCCTTGCGCCTGGTAGTGTATCAGTTGCTCTTCTCTTTGCAAGACCACTAATAGTTTATTTTGTAACCTAGTGACCAAAATTGTACACAATATTGTAAATATGGTCAATTCTAAACGACAATGAACTATATTTTAGGAGTAATTCATCAAGAAAAGTTCTTATTTCTATTTAGTACACTTGGCAAAACACATTGTGCTTTACCTAGGAACAAACGCTTAACAGGGTAAAAGAAGATTTAAGCATATTTAACCACACGGTAGCTGACTAAAGTGAACATTATGGGCAAAAAAACTAATCTTTCCAAGTGATCTATGTGCATGAACAGTAAAATTGGGTTTCAGTGATTGATTGCTTTGAAGACCATTTTCATACTTAATGCAGTGGAGAATATTACAAAGTAGAGGATAGAAATGTTCATAAATTGTGTTCCAGTTTTGTGTAGATGTGGCACTTAAGATCACCTGATTTAAAGAGACAGAGTAACCATGACAGGCAGTTTTCTGGAACGTGATTAAAGGAATGGTAGTTGATCGTGGTAGCTTTACAGTAGTGATGACTGGTCTCTAAACAAATACTGTATATGGTTTATACTTTACCAGGGGTGTCCAGTTCTGGGCCTGGAGGGATGATTTGTTTTCAGGTTGCCATTCCCAATCAGCTTTAAATGAGCTCAACCAGCTGTTTTAACCATTTAAACACCATCCAGCTTGCTCTCCTGGGGCTGATTCAGGTGCAAAGACACCAGAAAGCAAGCAAGCACTCCAGCCCTCCAGGACCAGAATTGGGCACTCCTGGTATAGACAATGGACAGGTCTGGCAGCACAATCATTATTCACTGTCTATTTGCGAGAAGCAGCCAATCTGAATTATTTTTCCCCCTTTCTCCTTTTTGCCCTATTACGGGAGATTCTACATTATTGACATGGTGTTTTGTCTTTCCACTTTTCTGGTATGTGAGACAACTGTGGTTAAACAACCACAAGATCCACTGCACTCTCACCAAAACCACAAGACTGTATGGTTGCCTATGGTTTGGTTAATAAAATTATCCCGAGACTGATGTGACATATCAACAAAATCACAAAGCAGGAACTTTTTGTCCCAAGGGGATTTAAAGCTGGTAGCAGCTGAACGATTTCCTCAAAATCAGTTAGGCACTACAAGCCAAATGAGCTAGATGAGCTGAATAGTTTCCTCATTTATAACCGTTTTTATATTCTAGTGATTTAATTAAAATGTTGGAAACGTATGTGCTATATAGGGCAATAGTCTTGGAAAAGTGTAGTGTTCAGTTAGCCTAAGAGCTGATGTACAAGGTGTATCAGTTTGGTATACACTGTTCCTGATACATGAAATACTGCTATACAGAATACAGTATATGTCCTGTAGGATGATCTGTGTAGGTCCTGGTTACTTCAGTCTGATTCTCTGATCACTCATCACCATTGATAAACAGGGAACACGTTTCAACACACCTGAGGCTTGAGAGTAACATTCATTTTAACTGAAAAAAAAAATTCTGGAAAACGATTTCTTATTATCTTGGTTACAATTTTAGATAACAGTCTTTTTATTGTTAGCTTGTTGTATTGGCCACCTCTGAGGAAAACATTACCTTACGTGCAAAATGGAAACAGGGATCAGTTTAGAAAGAAATGATCTTGGCTTAGTTACATGACGAGCATGATGGCTTGGCCCCTTTCCCAAGACCTTAGAGTGCCAGGTTGGGATTTCTAAGCTGAAACAAGGATAAGGCTGGCTCAGATTGTGTTATGCGTAATGAAAGAATGCTATTTCACAGTTTTTTGGGGACTGACATTGTTCTCAGCCTGATTTGAAACACTAGACTGCTATAACAATATACACCTGCTCTCCTATTCTAGCCTTATTGGTTTTGTACAGTATTAGGAAAATGTCCAAAAACATGAGAAAGGGTACAAACAAGACTAAGCTATTTGCCCTATGTACTGTATCTTGTTTGGTTGGTAGTCCTAAATAATCTGAGGATCTCATACAGTCGTTCCTAATAAAAAAATCCTAATAAAGAACAACTTAAAAATTGATTTTATTTTTCTTTAGCATTTCTATAGAAATATTTAGGTTGAGTTCATAAGAAAGAAGACATGTTTGAAATAAAATGCCCAATATTATAAATCATGTACAATATGTGCTGTTTCTATTCCCTGTCCAAAGTAACCATCTTTTCCTGCTTTCCGACTCTTAATTCTGTTAATCTCAATCATAGGCAGATCCCCACAACTGGTTTCCTGATGCAGAAACTGACATCTTAAAAGTCTTTTTTTTGTTCGTGACCCGATTGCAGATATAAAGTTTTCCTGGTGCACATGTAATCAATTAACGCCAGCAGCCATATCACCCTGCAGCTCTGGCTGGCTACCCACTGCAGCTGAGCCTTGTTAGTACCTGGATGGGAGACCTCCTGGGAAGCTAAGGTTGCTGCTGGAAGAGGTGTTAGCGGGACCAGTGAGGGGAGCCCACCCTGCGGCCTGTGTGGGTCCTAATGCCCTTAGTATAGTGGTGGGGACACTATACTGTAGGGGGCGCCGTCTTTTGGATGAAACGTTAAACCGAGGTCCTGACTCTCATCATTAAAGATCCCCGGGCATTTCTCAGTTAGAGAAGGGAGTTATCCCGGTGTCCTGGTCAAATTTCCCCCCTTAGCCTTTACCATGGCCTCCAAATTGTCCCCATGTATGATTGGCTTGCACTTGCCCTGCGATGGACTGGCGCCCCGTCCAGGCTCGTTGCTTGCTCTTGCGCTCGTTGCTTGCCAGGTAGGCTCTGGCTTCCCACAACTCCTTATGGTATAAAGCGATTCGGCAAATAACATGACATGTCATTAACAAAGACATCATCTATTTAGCACACAGGAATGAGGACATTTCATCATGTGAAATGGCTCTTGCAATACTTCAGATGCAGTCAAAAGTTCAGTCTTGCACATCTTGAGGTTCAGTACTTCGGACAAGAATGAATTAGTAGTTGCAGGCTGAGCTTATGATGGTAGGGTTTTCCTCTAACCTGTCACCTGAGGGCTCAGCATCTGGCTATAGGTCTTCTAGGGTACTTTGGACCAACCCTCACTTTCCCCAGATCATACAGACCTGAGGAGCTGGCGCAGATTGCAGCAGTGGAGGAGGTGAAGACATGAGGTGCAATTGTTTTTTAAATATCACCTAGAGGGATGCATTGTCTCTTTTGTGAAAGAATGATCCATGAAGCAGTTGGAACATTTAGGAGTATGTTTTTGTTCCCATATATTCATTCGAAGAAATTAAATCAGCATACAAAAAAAAAAATCAAAGGTGGACATATGTCAGAGGCCTGTACTCTGCACTGTGCGAGATGTTTATGGGCAAGCGCTGAACTTTTGTTGTGATGTTTCCCCAGTGACAGGACACACACGTGCTCTCTTGAGGCCTGCTGTTACCAAGGCAACCTCCCAGTTCAGGAACGGGGCTGCTGCGTGTTCTTTAACAGATACAAAATTGAAGAATTCCACTCCTTCCCTTCAAAATGATATACTATGACTTTTTTTTTTGTAAAACATTGAATACTATAGGATGTAAGCAGGCATTTCTCTGTGTGGGTTATGAGAAACCCCATGATAATTTTTTTACCGCTAAGCCTGGGAGTAGATGTGCCGTTTTGGCATAAAGTTGAAACACAGAATGCAAGGAGCACAGAAGATTTCAATGTGAAAGACTTGTGTACTTCTAGGAGTGAGTTTTCCCAAGTCTGAAAGTTTGGGCAATAGATCCACCCTGGGGATCTTATGATGTTCATCGTCAGTTCTGTCAGGTTTAATTCAACACAACATGTTTGCTATGTAATTCACCAAATTCACAAATTGTGCTACAGGTTCTTGTTCGTGAGAACGAGAGATTAGCAAGAAATTCCATAGGATGTATCTGTGTTTGATATTCTAAAAGCTATTCTAAAGTAAGGTTCTAGCATTCTCTCATATGAAAAATAAATTGTCACAAGTTTCTAAACATTACATAAAAATATTTTTCATTTTAGACTTAGA